CCTCTGCACTCGCCAATGCGGAGGTCGTCAGGAAAGAAAGGCTTCCTTTTCCGACCTCGATATTGAAGTGGAGATTTACATTTATCTTGCCCAGTTCTCTGTGTTTTTAAACTATGAGCCATGCTTAGAAATCCTCGTGTCTCCCCTATCTCTTACTGATTGTGGAAGCACCTTCCAGAAGGCTGTGAGTGCCTGCACAGCCAGCCGGCATGCATGCTCACAGCAGCCATCTCCTGCAGTCCTGCAGGTCTTCCCTGGCTGAGCTCATGGCTCGCACCTCCCTGGACCTGGAGCTGGATCTCCAGGCGTCGAGAACGCGGCAGAGGCAGCTGAACGAGGAGCTCTGTGCCCTGCGCGAGCTGAGGCAGCGGCTGGAGGGAGGCCCCCCCCCGGGGCCGCGCGCGGGCCTGCTGCCATCATCTCCCACAGAGACTCCTTCCTGCTCCGGTCATCACCCGGGGTTCCAGGTGTGCTCAGACTCTGAAAGGGCCTACTGGACAATGGCGTCCTGACTTAACTGACTCAGCACTTGTCTTAGGGAGCTGGTTCCCTCCCTCTGTGAGCTGGGAAGGTGGGGTTGTGCTGCCAATGTGGAACCCGAGGCTTTGGGGGCCGGACGAAGGACGCACAGACCTTCTCCACCTTGTGGGGAGAATGTTCTGGCTCTTGAGTCTGCTAGGCCACCCCTATACTCCCCTGTGAAGAGTTCTCTAGGGGGCAGGGTAAGGTGGGCCTTTCTGCCCTCTGGGTCCCCACCAGGCTTCAGGGTGGGAGCGGACTCTCCATTCTTCCTTACACAAACAGCAATAAAAATGTCTTGTTCGTCAACTGTTGCCGTTCCAGACAAGACAGACCAAACTTGACTACCATCAAGAACAGGCCGCTGAGAAGATGCTGAAGAAGGCCTCCAAAGAAATCTACCAGCTGCGCGGCCAAAACCACAAAGAGCCCATCCAAGTGCAGACCTTCAGGTAGGGGCAAACCGGGTCTCGCTTTGCGCCGCCTTTCACCGCTTTGGGAGGAACCCACAGGAAGTCGAGAGCAGGGCAGGAGTGTGCTCTAGCCGGCCTCCCCGCTCATGGCGGCATTTTGTTTTGTTCTTCTGATCCTTTTTGTAACACACATTTTTTTCCATGCTACCTGTAGTCCGAGTGGAGGGGTCAGTTTTGCATTTAGCTTTTTGAAAATTAGAATAGCTTGCGTTGCCGCATAGTCTGTTACCTTGATCGGTTGTGCTGTCATGCCTGGCCCGCGGATTCACCCGCTACTCTGCCGCTCTTCAGGCGTTTGCTATTTGAAATAGTTCTGTAATTTACATATCCAGATGTGTTGCCTTTACTTTTGAAATTAAGTTTTTTTTTTTTTTTTGGAGAGGATTTTGCTATAGGGTGCGTGTGCTTGCCAGACAGACAGAGAGAGACAGAGAGACAGAAAGCGAGAAATCAGTCCCCCGGGGGGATGGTCACACCGCAATCCCTTCTCCTCCATTCTCCTCTCGGGATCTTGGGCACGCACGCACACGCGTCCGGCGTGAGTTTAAGCCACCGGGTCTGGGCCTCGAACCACGGTCGACTACATGGGAGTCCAGCAACATAGCCATTACGCTAACTGCTGGTCCAGAAATTAACTTTTGATTGAAGCAAAATCTACAAACAGGAAAGCATGCGTGTCACAACTTGTCACAAGCTCAGCACACCACAAGAACTGGGTATTACCAGTGCCCCCAGATTCCCACACTTGAGTAACCACCTCGGGTCCTGGGAGTAGGGATGGGTTCTACCCGTTTAGGGTTTGCACACAACAGGACTTGCACACATCTGTCTGTATCCTCTGTACCCGTGAGCAATGAAGGTGAGTGTCACAGAATGTAAGGCACCATCTGAAATGAACAGGGACCACTGCGTCTGTCTACCCTAGAGCATTTTCATCGCCCACTCAACAGTCCAACCCTGTCTTCCCACCCCTGGCCCTGCCAACCACTCATCTGCATTCTGTTTCTATGGACTTCCTTGTTTTCCGTATTTCATAGAAATGGATCATTCCGTATAAGGTCTTTTGTGTCTGGCTTCTTTTTTTAAGTTTTTTTTTTTTTCTGCTATAGAGTATGTGTGCCCACCAGAGAGAGACAGAGAGAGAGATGACAGAGAGAGAGGGAGAGAGAGAGAGACAAAGTGAGAAATCGCCGCCCAGGGGACATGGCCACACCATAATCCCTTCTCCTCTAGTCTTCCCTTGGGATTTTGGGCACACACGCACACATTCCCAGTGTGTTTTCAAGATGCCTGGTCTGGGACTCGAACTGTAGAGTCAGTCATGTGTAACCCAGTCTCTTGAACCTCCATGCCACTGGCTGGCCCTGTCTGGCTTCTTTCACGGAGCATGTTTGTTAGGTTCTTCCCCGTCATAGCAGGGGTCAGTGCTTCGTTCCTTTATGTGCTCGAATGTGTGCCTTACTTTCAGCCTTAATTTTTGTATGCCCTTAATATTCGTGTCCCCACCATAAAATAACAGAAAATGCAATAACTGTCTTCCTTCAATTATGACTTATAATTCATGTAATTTTTCATTTTTCCATGCATTTATCAGTAAAGATTTCTTGAATACCTGCTATACACCAGGCACTGTTCTAGGCACTGGAGAAAAACCCCTACCCTTGTGGGGCGTCATAACTTCTACTAAAATTTAGAGAATATACAAACAGGTTTGTCACTGGGATTTAACTTTCAACAACAAGTTTATAAGTAAGAAAAGCCATCACTGATGTGAGATCCTCCTACCAGCCTTCCGTCTCTTCGGAGCAGCTTCTGACCTGTCATTCTTTCCAACCCCAGGGAGAAGATAGCATTTTTTACGAGGCCAAGGATCAACATACCTCCTCTCCCAGCCGATGACGTCTGATATAGTGCGTGGTGCACATGGAATATTTATCTGCCTGTTTTATTTTCATGAAGTTCTTAGACTAGCTAAATTTGTCTTTTAAATATTTGTGCAAAGCTATTAATATACACATTTTGTAAAAAAAAAAAACAAAAAAACTCCCCACATATATCTATACATATATATTTTATAATAGTGACGGCAACAGGGCTTGGTTTTCCCTTGTTGTGAAATCGACATCTCCGAGGACAGGTTATTTTATAAAAGATCAGTGATCATGTTAAGAGTGTACAGTTTTTACACTGTTTTATTTGACTTAAAGGCTGGAAGACAGAAACGAAGTGAGTTCAGGCAAATTCACTGTATTGTAATTTATTTATAGTACTTCTTTTTCCTTGAAGGAAAATACTGATTTTAAGATGTATTTTAAGACTGAAATTTTGTTCTTCAGTATTTGTCATGCCGTAGAATGGAACTTGGGGCTGGTTTTGTTTCTGACACCCGAAACGCAAAAATGCTATGTGCTCGATTTGTCACTCAGAGCAGTTTCTCCTGTGTGAAGTTACCACGTGTAGTTCCACGTTTGCTCTCTTCGTGTTACGTTATGTGTCGCCTGCGGCGCTTCCGTTGGGACTCCCAAGCCGCACGTGCACCGCAGAGCCGTCTCCGATGCGTACTGTCCACTGACCGTGCCTCATTTCTGTGTTGTCTTCTAGCGCATGTTTTTCTGTGCTTGCCATGAATCTGAAGCAGGCGACAGGGCCTCCAGCGTTGCAGCTTTCAGCCTGCCTGTCCACGGTGGCTGTCCACACTGCCCGCCTGCCTCAGACCACGTGCGGCCGACTGGCCCCTCCGCTCTCTCTGATTATGACAAACCAGGAGGGTGGTGGTGGGACCCTGCTATGCAGGTTGAGCATCCGTTATCTGAAAATTGCAAGTACTTCACGATCTGAAGCTTTCTGAGTGCCGACATGATGCTGCAAGGGGAAAGTTGCCACAGCTGACCCCGTGAGACAAGTTGCAGTCCAATCGCTACAATGCAAAACATGGTATAAAATGACCTGCAGGCTATGTGTAGAAGGTATATAGAGACAAATGAACTTCCTGTGTAGACTTAGGCCCCATCCCCAAGGTATCTTCTTAGATGCATGCAAATATTCCCGAATACAACAAACAAAACCAAAAACGATCTGAAATTAGAAATACTTCTGGCCCCAAGCATTTTGGATAAGGGGTACTCAGCCCGTACTACTGTTTAATGAAGGGAAGTGGAAAGGAAGCCAGGAGCACACGCCTTCTGTGAGTGTGGGAGAATCCAACAGTGACCACACAGGCGTGACGGCCCGTGAAGGGCTTTGTGTGTGCAGAGGGAAGGGCGTGCGGGTGGCTAGAACCACCCAGTGAGTCGCTTAGAGGACAATATTGGGTTTCAGTCAGAATGCCAGCCCGTCCTGGAGTCTGCGCAGTATTCCTCAATAAATCTTAGAACTATCTCCTGAGGGAGGACAGTTAAAGTAATTCAGATATGCCAGTATTCTTTGTAATGCCAAACGATGTAACTGTTTTGCCTCGAAGTGCACGCTCCTTTCTAAGAGGCCTCAGATGAATAAACGGGGCGGTCACAGGAAACGTCCAAAACAGAACTTTCTCTTCCTTGATCTCCCTCCCCCTTCCTTGGAAACATTCTTTTTAATCGGGTCTCTCTCTTCTCATCAGCCTGTAACCTTCCCCCTTGTATAACCCACTTTCCTTTTTACATTTATGAAAAATGAATTTTGTAAAAGCATTTCATCGACACGCGACCAATCACGGACAATGGAATTTGTCAGTGGTGGTAAGACTGAAACTGCGCTTCTCACAGCGGTCACTTCTTGCTATGTATTTCTGTTTCTTGTCTTGCCTTTTTTTTTCCATTTTATTTTGATTTTATTCGGGGCAGTTCCCTTTTTATACGGACCTACATCAGAAATAGAGAGGCTTGTCCTTGCCTGAACTACCAGTCACCAGGCGGCATGGCCGAGCAGGCCCCTCCGTGTGCCGAGCTGTTGAAGCCATACCATGAGCCAAGGCCTGGCTGCCCCTGGGCCAGCGAGGGCAGGTGGGTTCAGCCTCGGGCGCGGGCTCAGTGTGTTCAGGGGGAGCCCGCCGCGGCGCCTCGGCGCTGCTTTTGAGCTGCCCCAGCAGCTCTCATGGCTTGGTTAGCAGTCCAGGGAGCTTTTGCAACTGACCAGAACCGTAGCAAGGAAAGGGAACCCAGCCGGAGGAAGGAGGGAGAAAGGAGCCCTTAGTTCTGTGTCGCTACAGGGCACCAGAGCCAGCGACAAGCAGGGGACACTGTGCGCCCTGGCCAGCTCCTCATCAGTCACCATAGAGTCTCCCAGCTGCCGGCTAGTGGGGACTGCCACCCCCAGAAAGACCTCGCACACCAGCGAGGCAAAGTCCTGTTGGCTTAGGGGTGCTTCCATCTAATGCTGAAATCAATTTCCGGCAGGCCTCGTGATACCATTCCGTCACATTTTATGAGTACTTCTGGCCCTGAAACCAGGATTCTGCCACCGGGCTCATTAGAGACAGTACTACGTGTAAAAGGGAATTGGGGCTTCCTTTCATCCAATCACAGAATTGTTGGGCTTTGGTCGATAATCGCTGTAATTTGTAAACTTCTGTTGTGGGAATCAAGTATAATCAGTATTCATCTCTTTGTTTTTGTCACTGTTCTAATTGTTCCATTTGTATTGTTGGAAAATATTTCTTCTATAAAATTAAACTAACCTGCCTTAAGAACAGAGTGGAAATGTTTTTTGAAAAAAATTGTTTAGTCGTGGAGACTTAAATATATGAAAACAGAGATCATGCTTATTTTAAATATAAGAACAGATAACTAAAATCAGAGAGAATAGTATTTAAAAGAACACACAGTCAGCCCTCACCCGGCTTTGTCACTGCTCAGTCATGACCAATCTTGTCTTGTCTACACCGCTACCACCTCCCCGTCTGGAGATGTGAGGCAAGTCCCACACAGCTTGTCATCTCAGCTATAAATAGTTCAGTGTTTATTGCTAAAGGAGAGACGTGGACGTGCACACAATCCCCTCATCACGTCATGACATTGCACAGTTCCCGGTGTTGTTAAATAGCCGAGGTCCACTTTTCCTACTGTCCCGTGTCACTATTTTTGTGTTTTAACTCTTTGAACACAAGCCAGATGTGATCCACTTGTCAGAACTTTTAAAAATGTTGTGGGGTGTTTTGGTAACAGCTTTTTTGAGATATAATCAATACATATAACTCACCCATTTAAGCATATAAGTCAGCTGTTTTTAGTATTTTCAGAGTCGTCCAAATACCACTACAGTCGTCACCTCCAAAAAGAATCTCCCGTACCCAGCAGCAATCACTCCCCATTGCTCCCTGCCTCCCTTCTGGCAACCCCTAATCTTCCTCCG